AGGAAGGCGGGGTAGGGGTCGGCCTAGGAAGGGTTGGAGGGAGGGGGTAAAGGAGGTTTTGTGTGCGAGGGGCTTGGACTTCCAGCAGGCATGCGTGAGCGTGTTTGATAGGAGTGAATGGAGACAAATGGTTTTTAATACTTGACGTGCTGTTGGAGTGTGAGCAAAGTAACATTTATGAAGGGATTCAGGGAAACCGGCAGGCCGGACTTGAGTCCTGGAGATGGGAAGTACAGTGCCTGCACTCTGAAGGAGGGGTGTTAATGTTGCAGTTTAAAAACTGTAGTGTAAAGCACCCTTCTGGCAAGACAGTGATGGAGTGAATGATGGTGAAAGTTTTTCTTTTTCGGGCCACCCTGCCTTGGTGGGAATCGGCCGGTGTGATAATAAAAATAAAAAATAATAATAAATAAAAACAACAACAAAAAAATATTATCAAGGAAAGAAGTGATTGAACACTTTAACTCTTAACTACAGCTTAAGCAACACTTACTGAACAAACAAAAGAATGATTTACTTTAAAAGAAGAACTTAAAATTGCACTAAGAGTGAATTTGTTCAATGAAATATAAAAATAATAGATGAAAAAACACAGAACAAAAAGGTTAGAACACTTACAGTGATGCAGAACACAACACATCAATATAAACACAATACTAGAATTTTCTTGCAATGAAACTTGGTGTGAAAAAATTTTGAAACTTGTCTTGCTTCAACAAAATAATGGCATTATTGTCTGTGGAAACAAGACAAATTAGACACTGGTTAAATGAAAAAGAAAGTAACACAAGAATGTTCAACACACAGAGAAAAATTAAAATGGCAAATGAATGAAAACAAAAACAACAAGAATACACAAATGCTGGGAGAAAAAATATAACAGACAACACTGAGTTGTGATGTAGAATATAAGGTAATAAATTACTGAATTACTTCACTGCAATACTGTGAACACAAGATAACTGTGAAGTGTAAACACAAGGTTATACTGCTTTTATATTGCACACAACAAGGAAAAACATTAAAGTACTTCAAGTATAAAAAAAAAAGCATAACACAACAGACATAAAACAAAGCACGAAAATTAACACTGAAGAAAAAAGAGAAAAAAAAAATATTGCAAAAAGTATATAATGAACACTGAGTCTAATCAAGAGTTACTGAATGTCACTAAGAAATCACTGGAAACAAAAAAAAAATATATATGTATCTCAACACTCGCAAATGTCTCTATGAAAAATATTATTATCACTGTGGCAACGTGGTGTAAAATGAGGTGGAGGATGGTAGTGGAGTCTCGTGGCTGGCTGCGTTCGCTGACTACTCTCCACACGTGATCGAAGAATTTGCACTTAAATTGACGATGAACTCACACAGGAGGCTTTTACGATGGCGCAAACTGACGAAAGAACACACCTGGCTCTTGACCCCTTATGTGGTCCTTAAAAATATGGTGCTAGAGCCCATAATGGTACAAAAACAGTGGTAGTGGGTGAGGTGGGTGGTTGAGGCAGTACGGTGGTGAGACACCGCGTGGTGACTGGGCCTATGGGATGAATGGCATAAGCCACACTGGGGACACCCTCACTAGGCACGAAGATATTCTAAGCCAGGCTGGCTTAAAAACAAACCCACAAAATACCACAACACCACAGGGATGATAAAACACTCAAAATGGCTTGGAACTTGAAGCACAGAGCGATGAAGAAGACTATACCCACGTGGCTTGCTTGAGTACTGAGTTAGTCACCTGGGTTAGTTGCTGGCTGGCTTGGCTTAACCTTTCACACAGACTGGCTTGATAACTTGTAATGATGAGCACAGCAGGGGTGGAAAGCTGGCTTGGCAGGCAAGGCTGGATGGTGTAAGGCTGGCTGGACTGGGCTTGGGCTGACTCCCCACCACAGACTGGCTTAAGTGGCTTGGCTCACTTTACAAACCCGGGCCAACCCCTTGGAGGCAATGCAAATAGCAAAACAAACACTAATACACAGAGACTGACCAGTGAATAATGCAGAGGGCTGGTAAAAGCTTGCTTGAGGTAGCTGGCTGGCTAGGTCGACCTACTGGTCACACAAAATGTCCGTCGTTGGCTGCGAGAATTTATCTCCGTGCATCGGCGTAATTATCAATTTTACGCCCACACCGCTGGCACCAATTTGTCATGGGGGTTCAAGAGGAGATATGATGGTTGAAGATAAACACACTTGTGGATGGTAACACTATATATTGTCAGACTGTGGTAAGGGAGAACAACCTGCCTGTAGCTGCCTGGTAGGTCTAAGCATGGACTGAGAGCAAGGTAGCGCATCCCACTCACTCATGCCGCATTCTGTGACGTCATACAGTCACTAGGCCTAGTAGGGATCTTCTATATAAAACACATGGATGGTACTATGAAACTCAGCTAAGCTATACAACACATGTAAGGGGGATCAGCAACTATGCTGACAGTTAGACTTATGCCTACAAAATTAGACTTATGCCTACAAAGTTAGACTTATGTCTACAAAATTAGACTTATGCCTACAAAGTTAGACTTATGCCTACAAAATTAGATTTATGCCTACAAAGTTAGACTTATGCCTACAAAGTTAGACTTATGCCTACAAAGTTAGACTTATGCCTACAAAATTAGACTTATGCCTACAAAGTTAGACTTATGCCTACAAAATTAGACTTATGCCTACAAAATTAGACTTATGCCTACAAAGTTAGACTTGTGCCTACAAAGTTATACTTATGCCTACAAAGTTAGACTTATGCCTACAAAATTAGACTTATGCCTACAAAGTTAGACTTATGCCTACAAAGTTAGACTTGTGCCTACAAAGTTATACTTATGCCTACAAAGTTAGACTTATGCCTACAAAATTAGACTTATGCCTACAAAGTTAGACTTATGCCTACAAAGTTAGACTTGTGCCTACAAAGTTAGACTTATGCCTACAAAGTTAGACTTATGCCTACAAAGTTAGACTTGTGCCTACAAAGTTAGACTTATGCCTACAAAGTTAGACTTGTGCCTACAAAGTTAGACTTATGCCTACAAAGTTAGACTTATGCCTACAAAGTTAGACTTGTGCCTACAAAGTTAGACTTATGCCTACAAAATTAGACTTATGCCTACAAAGTTAGACTTATGCCTACAAAGTTAGACTTATGCCTACAAAGTTAGACTTATGCCTACAAAGTTAGACTTGTGCCACCAGATAACAGCATGAACATTGTGTTCACTTGACTCTTGTGGTGGAATATTGAAGCTGATCATCCCAAGTTATTTTTACTTTTTTAGCTACATTCACTTTATTTTTTATTTATTTTACCTTAATATATTTTTACATATTTTACATAAATTTACTTTTTTACTTTGTTATTTTTCTTTATTTCTTATTCATTTTTATTTTACTTTATTTTTACTGTATTTAACCTTATTTTTACTTTCTTTAATTTTTACTTTTTTTTTAACTATATTATTTGGTTTGTTAACAAAGAAATGTTAGAGGGTTCGATCTCCGCTCAAGATGCATCAGCCATTAAAAATTTAAGTTCAAATGAGCTAAACTGAAAATTATTTAATGTGATTAATAAGAAAAATATTATTTCACACTTAAAATGTTGAAGTTTACGTCATCACACTTGACTTTTACACTTGACTTTTACACTTGACTTTTACACTTGACTTTTACACTTGACTTTTGCACTTGACTTTTACACTTGACTTTTACACTTGACTTTTGCACTTGACTTTTACACTTGACTTTTGCACTTGACTTTTACACTTGACTTTTACACTTGACTTTTACACTTGACTTTTACACTTGACTTTTACACTTGACTTTTACACTTGACTTTTGCACTTGACTTTTACACTTGACTTTTGCACTTGACTTTTACACTTGACTTTTACACTTGACTTTTACACTTGACTTTTGCACTTGACTTTTGCACTTGACTTTTACACTTGACTTTTACACTTGACTTTTACACTTGACTTTTACACTTGACTTTTACACTTGACTTTTACACTTGACTTTTACACTTGACTTTTGCACTTGACTTTTACACTTGACTTTTACACTTGACTTTTACACTTGACTTTTACACTTGACTTTTACACTTGACTTTTACCTGGAGAGTTTACCTGGAGAGAGTTTCGGGGGTCAACGCCCCCGCGGCCCGGTCTGTGACTTTTGCACTTGACTTTTACACTTGACTTTTACACTTGACTTTTACACTTGACTTTCACTCTCCTCCGACGTCGAGTCAGGAGGCAACAACTGTGAAAGTTTGTATATCCGTCACTGAGAGTTTTAAAAGTTATTCAAACTATTCCAGGATGATGGAAATGGTTCCAGCAACTTTGGTGATGGGACATCAATACATGCCACTTATTACCACCTCATAAAATCTGTATACAGTTCACAGCACTGTATTGACATACCTCTGTAATGTTTTCAGGTCTGCTCAGAGGTGTGCATGGAGTATATAATTAGGTTATTTAACTCGTGGGTGAGGCAATCTAATATTAATACTCTTACTGGATGTTTAGGCTTGTGAAAAACCTGAATCACATTTTAAAAATCTTTTAACGGGAATAGAGATTTGGTTACGATTTGTTGCGATGCTCGGTGGAGCAGCAGTGATTATCTCACACTTGATTCTTCACTGACCTTCACCCTACAGCCTACATGTATAGACAAACACATACTTAACATAATATGTAGTGACAAGCACGACTCTGCCTCACATGGTATGCAGAGGAGAAAAAGAAACTGTTACAAGAAGCTTTTAATCACTGCTGCAATGTTTCTCCCTTGGCTGAACTTTACCAAGTATTCATGATAAAGTCCAGCCATGAAAGAAACAGTTATAAAAGCTTCCCTTCTGTATACTGTCTTTTCTCCACTTTTCCGTTTACATTATCATTTACCACAGTATGAGAGACATGCACATCTGTTCCTCACAATGTATACAGAAACAAGCATCTTCTGTCTTACCTTGTAGGCGGACACCAGCCTGTGGAAGGGGTGGCGTGAGACCAGGAAAATGAGAGCGTCATTAAGGAACCCTATCTCATGATCCAGGGGTGTGGGAGGCGGGACACGGTCCTTCAGCAGGAAGTGAGGGTTGTGGTAACTGCTGATGACTGAGTCCTTCACACCCACAGCTCGCAACAGGTGCCACGTCCACGTCGTCGACGCCACCTGCAGGAGGGGAGCACATATCTTTACATCGTTCAATTTACCGGCTATGAACGGTTGTCTTATCTCTGCTTATTTTAAAACTTTGTCCTGTTAATTGGTTATTATCACTCCCCAGAAGCCACCTGCAACGGTTCGTTAACACATATGTAGATACCTATGTACTTTGTGAACCCATGCAATAGATATGCAGAGTGTTATGAGTCTCCCCTTTGGAGTCATGTCCTGAAATCGCACACCTCACATCTGCCTTTCTATTGTGTTTACAAAACACTAAATCCTTTAAATATTCAGCACTTTAAACATGTTTCTAAGATTTCATAACAAATATACACTAACAAATTTTTAAACGTTTACTCTTATATAATCACAAACAAAACGCAAGAAAAACTATCTGTTTCATACATTCCACAATCCAGGTACATAAGTCGTTCAGCTAATTCAAAGGAAGATACACCACCACTGGGTTGTTAGGCAAGTACCTTGTAGGGTGAGTGACACCCTGTATGGTGAGTGACACCCTGTATGGTAAGTGACAACCTGTATGGTGAGTGACACCCTGTATGGTGAGTGGCAACATTTATGGTGAGTGAAAACTTGTGTTGTGAGTGACAACCTGTATGGTGATTGACACCCTGTAGGCTGAATGACAACTTCTGTGGTGAGTGACAACCTGTAGGGTGAGTGACAACTTGGGTGGAGAGTGACAACCTGTGTGGTGAGTGACAACCTGTAGGGTGAGTGACAACTTGTGTGGTGAGTGACAACTTGTGTGGTGAGTGACAACCTGTAGGGTGAGTGACAACTTGCATGGTGAGTGACAACTTGTGTGGGGAGTGACAACTTGTGTGGTGAGTGACCACCCGTACAGTGAGTGACACCCTGTAAAGTGAGTGATACCCTGTAGGGTGAGTGACATCCTGTAAAGTGACATCCTTTAGGGTGAGTGACACCCTGTAGGGTGAGTGACAACCTGTAATGTGCTAGTGTAGGGGGAGACGCGTCACTGTGATGTGCGAGTGTAGGGAGAGACACGTCACTGTGATGTGCTAATGTAGGTGGAGACACGTCATTGTAATGTGGTAACGTAGGGGGAGACACGTCATTGTGATGTGCTAGTGTAGGTGGAGACACGTTATTGTGATGTGCTGGTGTAGGGGAGGACACGTCACTGTGATGTGCTAGTGAATGGAGAGAAACGTCAATGTGACATGCTAGTGTAGGGCAGACACATCAATGTGATGTGCTAGTGTAAGGGAGGACACATGACTGTGATGTGCTAGTGTAGGGGAGGGCACGTTACTGTGATGTGCTAGTGTAGGGGAGGACACGTTACTGTGATGTGCTAGTGTAGGGGAGACACGTCACTGTGATGTGCTAGTGTAGGGAGAGACACGTCACTGTGATGGGCTGTTTGTGCGAATACCTTGCTGTGAGGGGCTGGGATGGTGTTGGGAGGATCATCTGATTGTGAGGGGCTGAGCTGGTGTAGGGAGGATCTCATTACTGTAAGAGGCTGGGCTGGTGGAGGGGGATCACCTTACTGTGAGAGGCTGGGGTGGTGTCTGAGGATCATCTTACTGTGAGAGACTGGGCCGGTGTTGGGAGGATCACTTTACTGTGAGAAGCTAGGTTGGTGTTGGGGGATTACCTTACTGTGAGAGGCTGGGCTGGTGTTGGGGGATCACCTTACTGTGAGAGTCTGGGCTGGTGTTGGGGGATCACCTTACTGTGAGAGTCTGGGATGGTGCTGAGAGGATCACCTTACTGTGAGGGGCTGGACTGGTGTTAGGAGGATCACCTTACTGTGAAGGGCTGGGATGGTGTTGGGGGAATCACCTTTCTATGAGAGGCTGGGCTGGTGTTGGGGGGGATCACCTTACTGTGAGAGTCTGGGCTGGTGTTGGGGGAATAACCTCTCTGTGAGAGGCTGGGCTGGTGTTGGGGATCACCTTACTGTGAGAGCCCAGGCTTGTGTTGAGAAAATCATCTTACTGTGAGCGTCTGGGCTGGTGTTGGGGGATCACCTTACTGTGAGAGTCTGGGCTGGTGTTGGGGGAATCACCTCTTTGTGAGAGGCTGGGCTGGTGTTGGAGAGATCACCTTACTGTGAGTGGCTGGGCCGATGTTTGGACGATCACCTTTCTGTGAGAGGCTGTGCTGGTGTTGGGGGAATCACCTCTCTGTGAGAGGCTGGGCTAGTGTTGGAGAGATCACCTTACTGTGAGTGGCTGGGCCGATGTTGGGACGATCACCTTACTGTGAGAGACTGGGCTGGGAGATCACCTCTCTGTGAGAGGCTGGGCTGGTGTTGGGGGATCACCTTACTGTGAAAGTCTGGGCTTGTGTTGAGAAAATCATCTTACTGTGAGAGGCTGGGCTGGTGTTTGGGGGATCACCTTACTGTGAAAAGCTGGGCTGGGGGATCACCTCTCTGTGAGGGGCTGGGCTAGTGTTGGGAGGATCATTTTACTGCGAGAGCCCGTTCTGGTGCTTGGGGGATCACCTCTCTGTGTGAGGTTGGACTTGTGTTGGGGGGATCACCTCTCTGTGAAAGGCTGGGGTGGTGTTGAGAAAATCATCTTACTGTGAGAGGCTGGGCTGGTGTTTGGGGATCACCTTACTGTTAGAGGCTGGGCTAGTGTTGGGAGGATCACCTTACTGTGAGAGGCTGGGCTGAGTGGACCACCTCTCTGTGAGAGGCTGGGCTGGTGTTGAGGGGATCACTTCTCTGTTAGAGGATGGGTTGGTGTTGGGGGCGATCACCTTTCTGTGAGAGGCTGGGCTGGTGTTGGGGGGATCACCTCTCTGTGAAAGGCTGAGCTGGGTGAATCACCTCTCTTTGAGAGGCTGGACTGGTGTTGAGGGGATTACCTTTCTGTGAGAGGCTGGGCTAGTGTTGGGGGGATCACCTTACTGCAAGAGGCTGGGCTGGTGTTGGGGGATCACCTTACTGTGAGAGGCTGGGCTGGTGTTGGTAGGATCACCTTACTGTGAGAGGCTGGGCTGGGTGGATCACCTCTCTGTGAGAGGCTGGACTGGTGTTGGGAGGCATTATCTTCCTGTGAGAGGCTGCGCTTGTGTTAGGGGGTATTGCAACCCCTGAATGGGTCACAATGTATATAATGTATATTACCTGTTCATATAATTTTATATTGCTTATATTTGTGATATTAGCTAAATCATAAATACATTGCTTTATATTATTATTTGACTTAGTTATATTATTAGGTAGGATGTAACATTTGTATATTATTCAGTGCTCATAGTTCGAGAGTGTTAAGTAGCTGACAGCATTGTCTAACTACTGTAATTATCGCTCCACTCGTTTTGCTGCTGGCTTCTCTGTAGTTGCTGGGCAGCAGCAGTCTACGGAGAGTCACGTGATCAGGGTGGGGTGATCACACCTCACCTGAGAGAGTGCCTGGCCTGCACTCGCTCTTGTCTGTTTGACGTTGCTTCCAACAATACGTGCCTCTCCAGCTCTCCATTGTTGGCCCTTGTTGGAAGATCGTCTCTGTCGCTTTCTTGTTGTTGGTTCTGTGTAACTCTGTTCACAGAACATAGCCTAGACTTAGTGATTTTCGACATTGTACTGAGGTTGTGTTGCATTGACACTGAGAAACTCGGGTCCTGAGCTGTAGCTTCTGACCTAATTTGTATTGGTATCTGTGTACTGTCACAGTCGAAGATTTTCTAATGCTGAACTTAGATTCAGTAGTATGGGAGTTTTGTGACTTTTGTGGAGAATCTGCAGATGGTCCCTACTTAGTGTCGTTATATAATCTCCTTGTTCCTGATTCTGTGTTGTTGTTGCTTATTATATTGCTGTTCGGCTTATCAGTCGTTTTATTGTTCAAGCAAGCTGTTCTGATTGGCAGGTTGGTCAAGAAGTTAGTTTATGTGAGGATTTTTAGTCAGTCACTGGTTAAGTCTAGCCGAGTCTTGAGACATAGTGAACTACATAGAGCACTTACACACATACACACATACTTGTATATATTAGTATTATGTTATTAAATGCTAACAATGTACCAGACAGTACTTAAAAGCCATAAAGATGTGATATGTGCCTTCAGCACAGTACTACTGTACACGAGAGAAGTGTAGGAACTTGTATCCTATAATATATTCAATTGATTACTTGAATTTACTTTTATATACGCCTAGACAATTTTATTGTTATTAATAAACTTATTAAATTTTAATTCCTTTAGTTAGTAGCCTACCAGTTGTAATCCTGAAGCACTATTGAATCTTACTAAATTCTAATGGATAATTGGACCAGGATACTGACTACTTGTTATAAAAACCCAATAACAGGCTGGATTCTAAAGGGCCAGTCCTTTCTAGTATTCACTGGAGATCTCTATGCTTATTAGACATCGCGTTTTTTTGTAACAGGGGAGGATCACCTGTCTGTGAGAGGCTGGGCTGGTGAACATAAAAATGCATAACTTTAGTTCAGTAACATAATAGTAACATAATAATCAGTAACGTAATAATCAGTAACATTCACCCAGATGCTATCAGGCCACTCTGGGATTGGTGCTTCCCTCATGAATAACTTCCCGGAGAATCGTGCTCTGGTGCACAGTTTACTTCTTAAGTGGTGGATGACCAACCAGAGCGGTGCCTTGATCCCAGTGATTGACTCACAGTTCAGGAAAATGGAAGTAATGACCCATGCTTTAGATGGAATTCCTGTTCTCCAGGTGCTGTGTCAAGAAGACACATGAGGGAGACAAATATTTGTGCATCATTGTGTACAAACCTAAGAAACGAACGAACAATAATCTACATGCATTTTACGTATTATCTTATTATTGTATTAAGTACTGTTAGGGGTATATTTCTGTGCACAAAGAATATGTCCATTGAGGTCATTAATATTATCATTACTTCAGAACGTATGATAATTTTGTAATATTAGTGTGATGTCATGTGATTTCATGCCACATAATGTATCCATGTGACATATGGAAAATGTTATATGGGTTACC